GCGCCCTCCGCAGCGGGTGACCTGGCAGGTGAGCGTCGCCCGGGGCCCCTCCCTTCGCCCGGGCGTGCGGGTGTTGCTGGGAGGGGAACGGGACGCGGCTTCGCGGCCGGCGGGGAGGGTCGGTGGCCCGGGCGGGAGCCCGCGCGTCCTGTGAGGGGCTGGGGGAATCTCGCCTCCGCCCGGCCGGGCAGCTCCCCCGGCACCCCGTGGTGGCCCCCGGGCCGAAAGGGAAGCCTCCGGCTCCTCCCGGCTTCCCTTTCAGCCCGGGGGCCGTCGGGGTGCCCGATCCCCTGTCCCATCCCCCCTCGGCTGGGCGGCCAGAAATCCTGTTCGGCTCCCGCTAGTTGCTCTGATAGTTTAATGCATTCATTCCTTTAACTTTTCCCTCCTGTGTATTTTAGATGCCAAATGGAAAGCCATAACTGACCAAATTAAGACAGCGGTGGAAGCCTATGAGCCATGCGTAAAGGAGAATTGTAGCTGCCACCAAAGGTGAGAGGCTGGTTTCCTTTTGACTGCACAGGCCATGAGAGGGAATACTGTTGCCAGCACTGGTGGATGGGAATTAGCTAGAGACTATTTGGGCTCTAAAGTGTCACATCTGCAGCCGTCGTAGGTCACGGTGCTTCCAAGAGGGAGGTTATTAATGGCACTGTGTGAAACAGGTTGGCCTCCATAGTTCCAACAGAAGGTGTGTTCACCTGCAAACTGATCACTCTCCTTGTTGTCCTCTGTGATTGAACAACAAACACTCTGTCAGCATCCCCAAATGATCACGCAATAAACCTGTACACGGTGATATTTCTGTGTTAACAATCCACGTCTGCCTTTTCTCTCAGTGCAATGTTGCTAACAACTCTTCCTTGTGGGCTTTTAAAAGTGGAAGAAAATAAGTATCTACAAAATATTTTAAAATCGCTAGATTAAGAAAGATTGTTACAGAACACAGATTCATTTGATGTGATAGTGTGTTGTACTTTGCTCACTCCCTGTGCTTGGACAGGGCTTCCAGTGGAAGAGGGGAGGGGACAATTGGAGGAGTGCTCTTTCTAGGGAGTTTAGCTCGCTGCTTGTCAGAATTGGAGTGGCAGTGGATATTCAACTACCTGATTTTCACATGACCAAAGTATGATCCAAGAGGAGCTCATTCAGGAAGACACAAGTCCTGTTTATTTTTTTATAACTGTGGAGCATTATACAAAATGCTGCCAGCACTCTGCCTAATCTTCCTACAGTAACATAGTGCAGAGAGCTAGAAACTTGTATGTGGATGCAAGACCACTGTAGGTGGCCAAACCAAACTTCCCTTCTGTTCCCGCTGGTAGAGCATGACTTCAGCATGGAGAATATTACAGGTGCATAGGTCATTGCTGTTAATGTGGGTAGGGACTGTAGGACTGGGTTTTTCTGGTATCTTTAAGCAGTGTTTTTATTTAAAGGGGAAGAGGGAGTACAGGGAAGAGTCAAAATATTCTTTTGTCCTTAGGATTTGGATTCCAAATGGAGAAACACAGATGCCCAACTTTAAGCCTCCTATTTAAAAAATACCAGACGTGCTCACTCATCCTGAGGGTGAGAAGAGTGCTATATCAGCTTTTAATATCAGATGAGTCGTGTTGGGCAACTGTTTGTACACTCTGTTTGGAGTTTTTGATCTTCATTGCTCTTGAAATATTGATGAGGAAAAGTCTCTTCTAGTTTAGCCTTCCAGTCTTTTTCCTCAGTTCCAATTCAGATACAGCCTAAAGACATCTTCTAATCTTTAAACATACAATGCGCCATCCTCTGCCCACCTTTGAGAAGAACATCTTCCCAAGTGGTTACAACCTCCAAACCTGCTTCAGAACGTGATAGGCAATAGTAACATGAAATTAGGGTTGCTGTGGATCTTGAAACCTAGTTTTCACTAAAGCAGTAGTTTATTTAAGGGTTGTTGAGGAGCACTGCGGTAGTGACAGGCATTACAAAAGAATCCAGGAAGATAATACAGCACATAGGCTGTGAGAAACTCAGTTCATTTTGATAGCTGATTTGGAGATATGTAGAAATGCAGCAGAACACCAACAGCCAGTACTTTTCCCTGTATAACAGATTCTACTTGTGTCTAGTCTTCTGTGACTCAGTGGGCAAGGAGTGAAGGTCCAAACTTGTTTGTTGCTACCTTTCAGTTGTCACTTAGGTTACAATGACATGGATGTGCCATAAAACTGCAACGTTCCTCCTGTTCTCAAGCTCATTACATTTGCGTCCCTGCCAGACTGCTTATCCTGTGGTCAGTCCATCTGCACAATGGCACTTCTTTATGTAGTTTTACTGTTTTCTACCTGATTATGAAATAGCAGAGTCCTGGAGGTTGGAGGGGACCTCTTGAGATCATTAAATCCAACCCTTCTGCTCAAGCGGGGTTGCCAGGACTGTGTCCAGTTGGGTTTTGAATATCTCAAAGGACAGAAACTCCACCACCTCTCTGGGCAGCCTGTGCCAGTGTTTGACCACCCTCACAGTGCGATCACCCCTGCAGTGTTGTATTAAACCAAGGCATTGATGCAGTGTCTACCAAAAAGTGGGGAGGACATCTCCATGGCTGTTACAATCTGACAGTGTTCATTAACTGCTCCAAGCAGTTAGATCTGAGGACCTATAAACTGCATCCTCCTCCTGCGTTTTCTTATATACGTTAGGTTTATGTTTTCATACTGCATTCCTGGAGCTCGCTGATGATGTGCAGATGCCACAGAACACAAACTACATAGGCCTCTCCTCCTGAGCTGGCTTTCACTGCACACAGCATTATTTGGTGACGCTGCTCCTTGTGACTGGACTCTTACCTTCTTTTTCATGTATAAATAGCGTGACATTGTGTGAGGAGTTTGGTCGTGGTGTGGCCCATCATTCATGGAAGACCAGAGCACAAGCTTCGCAACTCAAAGGTTAAGTGAGCTGAAGGCTTTTACCCATAACCTGCCAGGGTACGTAGGGTCCTTTCTGGGAGAGTAACTAGAGTAGTCCATGTTGATTTAGCCTCAGAGTCCTGTGCTGGGCTTTCTGTTGCGGCAAACAGCACAATATACAACACATAGATAGTCAAAGAGTGAAACTTGGACCTTGGAAGAGCTGTTACTCAGAGACTCAAAGTGACTTAAATTAAATTCTCTGTTATGCCACATGTAGCAGAGCTCCTGGAAGCTACACGGAGCTTGTTTTAGCTAGAAGTCTGTTCTGTATAGTGCAGTAATTTAATGCACAGTATCCTTCCTATTTTACATCATAATGGCTGATTGTTTTGTTTCAGTGTCTGGAAGCAGGACCTGGCTCCTTTTCGAGGTGGCATTTCCAAGGAGATAATATCAGATGTGGTGAGCCGGAAGCTCGGGACACACTACCAAATCGTTAAGAATAAACTGTACCGTGAGGAGGACTGCTTGTTCCCTGCAAGGTAAGAGCTGTGCAGAAGATCTTGTCTCCCTAGCTGGGCACAGGAGTACTTCCAAATCTGCCAAGTTGAAAGCCACGGACCACAATGATATTTCAGAGGTCTAAATTCATTATCAGCGCAGGAGCCTAGAAAATGATGTATGAGGCTTAAATGTAGCAAGAGTTAAGTGTCATTGTTGCACTTCGTCGTACAAAGAGTTGGTTGGTTGTGGGATCCCAGAGAAAGCTGCAGATCAGACCAGATTTAACAGGATGGGTTACTTCATTGGTATCTGTACCGCGTTGGGGCTTAGAGGCTGCTATAGGCAGTTCCCAGCCTGCATTGTGGTATGGCTCAGGCTCACCATCTCTTCTGCTCCTGCACAGAGAGAAAGGCCTGGAAGAGACTGCAGGATTGTGCTTTCTCCTCACAGCTCTTTGCCGTATGTCGTTTCTCCACAGATGCAGTGGAGTTGAGCACTTCCTTCTGGGGATCATCAACCGCCTCCCTGACATGGAAATGGTGATCAACGTGCGAGACTACCCCCAGGTCCCCAGGTGGATGAAACCCATTATCCCAGTCTTCTCCTTCAGTAAGGTGCGCACACCTTTAAAAGCTGAGCATTTCTGAGACATGCATGTCCTCCTTTCTCTTGGGAATGTATTTTTGAGGATGGTTCCCCACAGGTTTTCTTTGTGTCAAAATTGCTTGCTCTTTTTTTGCTCTTTGTTTCCTTTTGCTTCCAGTTTTCTGGCAGACAGACTTGCAGATTTGTTCAATAGAACAGTTTTTCCCCTCATTAGCTGCTCTTCCAGGTCAAAAAAATGTACCTCTGCTGCAGTGGAATGATGCACAGCTGGATGGGATATGTGCCAGCATCGCTGTCATTTGCTACAGTGTTTCTGCTAAAATTGTAGCAGTAGTTTATCAGCATTGTTAAGGATTTTTGATCATCAGTCAGCTGTCACACAGTTAATCTCATTTAATATGAATATTTTAGTCCTCTTTTTTGGTACCACAGATAAGTGTTTCTTATCTTCTTTTCTGTAATATGGCTGTCTCCTGTGAATGCTTTTCCCCTGGATTCCCTTTTCCATCTCCAAACGTGCACACGCACGCAGAGGCACACACACACAGACATTCGTTCTCTGCGTCTCTGTTCCCAGACTGGAGAGCCCTCCCATATGTTTTCCTGCCTCTCCCATTGTTAAACCTGACCGTAGCATAGTGTCTCATCCTTTCCAACAAAATACCGTTACACCTCAAGCTTCAGCTAATCTTCCTTTGTCTTAGTGTATGCCTAACGTGCCCACATCCTGCACCCTCGCTACCTAACCCTGATCGTGATCCTGTCCTTGGCTGAAGCTCAGCAGACAGTAAGATGCAAAAGAAGCAATAAACCATTTGCTCTTCCTAGTTCAGGCCCTATTCTGTTTTGGCTAGCTTGTAGCATCTTACTCAGGTCTTCAGTTTATGCAGCCTGAACCCTAATACAATCCGTAACTATTTCCTGGTCGCCAGCCATCCTAAAACTCTCTCTAGAATTTCAATACAGCATTGCAAGCGTTGTCATTCAAGAACTATGTTCGCTGCCAGAGGTAGTAGTAACGCTAGCTGTCTTGCCCCTTGACCATTGCACAGCCTTAACTCCAGCCAGCAGGACCAAAGCTGATGCAGAGCAGGTTGCAGGAGTTTAATCTTTGCAGCCGTATTCATCATCCTGCCCCTGGGTGCCTTGCAGGACCCCGCAAGAAACTGAGTTCTCCTGTCACCATTGTCTGAGATTCTGAACTGTAACCTCAGCCCTGTCCTTAACTGAAACCCCGTGACCCAGGCACAGCTCACATTTAACCAGCCAGCGTTAGTCACTGCCAGAATGAGAAAGGCTCCAGGATATATTCTGAGGCTGAAAGCATAAGGGATTGCAGGATTGTCCTATTCTACATCTCAGAAGGTCCACCCCGGGGTGGTGGTGGATCTGTCACGGTTTGTTATCGATGCCTGTTTATAGCAAGACTGAGAAGGAGCAGATCATAGAACACTCTCATTTAAGTTGGAAGGGACCTGAGGAGGTCACACAGTCCAGCACCTCACTCAGAGCAGGACCAACTAGGTCCAACTAGGACCAACTAGGAGCAACCAGGGTGCTCCAGGCTGTGTCCTGCCTGGTTCTCACCATCCCCGAGGACAGGGTGTCCACAGCCAGTGTTTGACCTCCCTCAGAATGAAAACGTATTTCCCAATATCTAATTGGAATTTCCCTTCTTGTAATCAAAGCCTGTTGCCTCTCATTCTGTCTCTGCACTTCTGAAAAGAGTCTGCCTCCATCTTCTCTGAACTCTCTCATGAGGTAGTAGGAGACGGCATTTAGATTCCCCTAAGCCTCCTCTTCCTATGTGTGAACAAACCCATTCCTCAGCCCCTGTTTATACGTCATGTGCACCTACCACCTGCTACTGTGGTGGTCTTGGACTCTCTCCAGTATCTCCAGGTGACAGACAGATGGATAATTGCATAGCAAGTTTATTGCTAGTGCAAGGAAGTGGCCTATAGTCTGGTTTCATGAAAGGGTTTAGTCTTACTTAAGTGCTGGCCTTCCCTCTGATTATATGGGAATTTAAACATCCAAACAGGAGCGAGGAACTGAAATTCTTACATGGCCTGGATATTTGTGACAGTGAATTGTTAAGTGAACTCTAGGAAGGCTGGAATGAACTGAAGTGTTGGAAACCTAAATGTCAAAGTGTCTATAAGTGCCTCTATCTCTGAGGAGATAATAATGCCTCTTGACTTATGATCAGTAGAAAACATTTGTAGCTACACATAGGCACAAGTCTTCAGAAAGATGAGTGGAGCTCAGGTCTTCCGCTATTAACAAAAGAGATCCATGATAGAGCTGATTAGTAATTTTCTAACATGAAAGTCCCATGTTGTCATGCAGCAAGACATAGCCTTTTTTTAAATCATTGAAACATTTCGATATTGGGTTGTCTTCATGTGAACCCCAGCAACACCGTGGTGGCCGCTAAGCTCTCGTGGCTGCCTATGGAACAGTAACGGAGAGAGCAGACAGAACTCCTAGAAGGGATGTTCCTTACTGGTGGGCTCAGTCAGGAAACTGAAGTAGATATTGCTCTTATTCTTACGTTACTCTCCTTTTTCTGAAGACGCCTGAATACAGTGATATCATGTATCCTGCCTGGACGTTTTGGGAAGGAGGACCAGCTGTTTGGCCAATTTACCCAACAGGTTTAGGGCGCTGGGACCTCATGAGAGAAGACCTCAGAAGGTATGTTTTGGAAATGGTTATGTGGGGAGGAGGTTTAATGGAAGACAAACTCACAGTAAAAAGCCATCTAGCACTGGGCAGCATTAGGGCAACATTGAAGTCTAAGACCATAGGTCTGTTGGCCTGTGATCTGTCCTGCTGCCTCTCATGAACTACATACAGCCTAACTGCTGTATGAGAATTCTCCATGGAAACCTTGGATGATGTAACCAGAAGTTATAATTAGCTTCTCTGTTTCCAGCACTTTGGTAAGGAATGCAGAGGACAAAGTATACACATTCTTCATGCTGTCAGGGCCAGATTACTATCATTTTTGCTGGGATAGGGTTTGTCAATAAAGCAGCAGTTATCTTTTGCCTGCAGAAATCTCCCCTGACACATGGAAATATTTTCCTTTGTTTCCAACTACTTCTCTAAGAGCTGTGGTTTTTTCACTGCAGGGATGATCCAGGATGTTTGTATAAGCTTCTGGAAGGGTAAAGGAAAGTCTTCTTTAGATCTGCTTTTACTTGAGTATTGTTGTGCAATAGAGAAACCTGGAATCGTTCCCAAGACTCAAGAGTCATTACTGGGCTTGAGAGTAAGACGGAAGACTTCTCTGAGAGTCTTTCTTTTGGCAGGATCTTTGACTATTAGCAGAATAAGGGGCTGTTTCCCATGGAGAGTGACAAAGTGTGCAACAGTGAGTGAACTTAGAAACATGAGAAAAAAAAACCCACCTTGATGTCCGTCACTTGACACCAGAATGGAAGGTTGAATGTTTCCCTCTTCAAAATCTGAAGCTCTATGGGACTACTCATAGCTGCAGCCGATGTAACATAATGAAGATCCAAAGCATTTACCTATCCTTTCTTTCCCAGTGAACCCCACTTGTGTCACTGGGTTACAAGCGGATGCAGAGCTTGACCTGTGCAGATCAGTTTGGGGATCAGGACCTATATATCAGGCCAGGTGAAACAAAAAAGTGCAACAAAGAGTTCCCCAGAGGGAGGCAGGTGACTGCACTGACAGAAATAAAACGTGTGAACTGCTATTTTGAAGGAGTCATTTAGATTTAAAATGAAAGTTATTTGGGAAAATAATCAACCCCTGTGTTTTAAATGCAAAACACTAGGTAGGTTTTTTTGTTTGTTGTTGTTTGGGTTTTTTTTAATGGGAAATGGCAGTGGTTAGAAACTAGTCACAGCTAGTCACTTCACAACAGCGAAGTACAGAAAAATAAAACAGTGCAAAAAGCGGATTCAAATTTTAGGTAAATTTTAATACCTGTAAAGATTTAGTAAGGGGGTTGTGTGTAAGTCATTGTTTTGACTGAAAAGTATTCTGAAAAGTAGAATGTGCCGATGTCATGTTGCCTTAAACACAATATTCACAGGAAAACCTGTTTCATTGGACCTGGCTGAGTTTTTTCTGCTATAATGAAGAAAGTGATTTCCATCAAAAATGAAGAATAATAAAAAGAGATCATGCTGTGAAAACTGATGAGAGCGCTGTTTCGTGGTTATATTAAATCATTTATTGCCATGTATAAACAATATTTTCAGATCTGCAGAAAAATGGCCATGGATGAAAAAAATCTCTAAAGGATATTTCCGAGGATCCAGGTGAGCATATTTTCCTACAGCAGGAGATTCTACCAAAATATGCCATGACAGCTGTCTGTATGTAGAAATTTCTGTATCTCCAAGACCTAAACAAATGTAACCCAGAATGTATTTTTTAAAAGTGAGGAAAGCAAGGCATTTTGTACAGCAGCATTTCCCCATTAGTGATTCTCCATAAGAATTGCCATTTGCAACTAGTTTATTATCAGAAGTCTAATATTGGAAACAGAAGTTGTGATGGATTTGCTATGTTATTTCTTAATGAGTAAAACTGTCACACTAGGAACCAGCTTGTTTTGTTCTGTGAAGAGAACTGCAGGTGCATGATACAAATTTAAAGATTTGATATTGATGTGCATGCTTCTTGCCAGTGTGAATACTTTATTCGCTATGCAAGTGCTTGACAGTGAATCAACAAGTATTCTTGCATTAAATTACCTGAGTGTGGGGGATAAGAAAGTAGATTATTTTTACCCTCTCTCCAGCGACAGTTTGAAAACAGTGTTAACCCCTGCTCCTTTTTGTTCCTCCTCCATCTCCAGTAGGGATGGATTTGATATCTTACTGGGTAGGCTCAGAAGGTGATGAGGAGTGAGTCTCAGGGATGTCATAACTTTGTTTATCAGTAGTGTTTTAAATTAGTGTCAGAGGGATCAAGTGCTGAAGATGCTTAGCATCTCTTAGCTCGCTCTCTGACATAGAAGGGAGTTAAAGTATTTGGCACCCATCAGGATAAGGCCTGAAGGAAAAAAAAAAAATCTGCTGATTTGTCCTGGGAATTGCTTAAATAATACCATTAAATATTTAGTAAGTGAAATAAAGAAACATGGCCTCACATAATTTCGGTACACATAACTCATTCTCTTCTGCTAGTATACCCTGGGACAGAAATACACTGTATGGTAGGCACTCGTATAATGTTTTTGGGGCACATACGGAGGTCAGCCTCATAAAGAGGCAGGGTCTCAAGTCCTGTAGTTTGTTAGCTGTGTTGGATCATGCGGATTGACAGTTACTGATAGCATTTCTTTTGCAGAACGAGCCCTGAGAGAGATCCCCTCATTCTGCTGTCCCGAGAAAACCCAGAACTTGTTGATGCCGAGTACACTAAAAACCAGGCCTGGAAATCTGAGAAGGTGTGTGGGTGTTGTCTGTCTCCTGAGTGTGAAGGCCAGAAAGGGTAGCATTGCAAGATGGCTTTGATGATTGAGATGCATCTTGTTGTAGAGTTGCGAGTGATCCTCTAGAGTGGGGGAGGCTTGTAGTTCGCTTGATGGCTGCGTCTCTCTGACGGATGAAAGTAAGGAGTCTCTAGAGCCTGGCAGGCCAAACATTTTCCTTCCATCCACACTTTCTTGTTCAAGGAAACGAGCACACGCAAGAAAATGAACCTGTGCCAATCCCTTCCTCCTCCATTACAACCAAATTAGCCAACTCTTCCCCTTCTAGCCCCAAGCTGTCTGTGTGGTGGTGTCAGTCTTTTTAAACCTTTTTCTGTCATCTCCGTTTCTTGGTCGTCTTGTTGATAACTTTCTGATAGCTGCTGCCAATCACTTTTTAGTTCCATACTTAGTCTACAGTCCAGCTCTCTCCAGACAGTCTTGGCTAATCCAGTTACACTTGGCTTCACATAGCCCATTGTCCCAAGCTGTTTTCCATTCTGTAGCTGCCAGCTAAACATTATCATTTAATGTGTTTGTGCTGGCATTTGCTTACAGGCAGTGTGTAATTTACTGAACTTTTTTTCTTGTTTGAAGGGCTGGGAATTCTTCATAATAGTTATAAAAGCCCACCAGAGAAGGTTTTCTCAGAAGTGGGAATGGAGGGTTTTGAGACAAAGCTGACGCTTTGTTTCTAACTGAGAAGGAAAACAAATATGAAATCACTATATAAAGCCTACTGATTTTGTTTAATTCTCTTTATTTTAAGGACACCTTAGGAAAGCCTCCTGCAAAGGAAATTCCACTGGTTGATCACTGCAAATACAAGTAAGAGTTTCGATTACTAAAGCTGTTCAAGGGCTATGGTGTAAGGTCTCATTTTATTTTAAGGTCTGATTCCAGCAACCAGCTCCGTGCAGACAAGGAAACTTGTGAAGGCAGTCGAAAATTGGGGAGCTTAACATGGCCTCTTTCGGTGTCAGCTTTCCCCTGTCAGGTCAGGAGAAATAAAGTGCTTTGGGGAAAGTAAAGGTCTTACATCACTAATAAACATATAGATCGAAAATTTTATTTTATTTTAATCAAAAAGGCTTTCTATCATTTTTTCTTTACATTCCTGTACCAAGCTGTGTGTTCAAAATTATTTTTTCGGTGCTACGGTGATAGCATTACTGTCTTCAAAGACATAAGGAACTAAGGAATCACGTCATCATGTGCGTACTGGGGCAAGTGTTGCTGTTGGATGTACATAGTAAAAGAGAGAACCTGAAATATGATCGAGCAGATACAGGATTGATTCATACTTTGTATGTTGTTTGGGAGAACGTGGTTTTGATTTACAAAGGTTTTTATTTCTTAACTACTTTAGGGAGGGTCTTTTGGTGTAATATTCTTGTGGGTTTCTGTGTAAAAAATATAAACTCTTAGTGTGTATGCATGTCTGGTGTTGTGCTTTTTCTTTTGCTTTAAAATTACCTAGTTACAATTCTACCAGCTAGAATCTGCTGATGTAAGAGCTCAGTCATTTGGCTGGATCTGCGTTTTTCTGCAAATATGATTGACTTGTCTCATTTTATATTTCACTAGACTGTTGCCCAGATTTCTCCCTTCTGTTACACATAGACTTCCCAACTCCTGATGCCTGCTGAGCCCCTCGTACAGTATGGGCTGAAACATTCTCACACGCTTTTGTCGTAGCCCAGGGTCTGGTGCGGTCAACACAAACTTCTCGTTGCTTCCTTCAGTGTAGGTGCTGCAGCGGGCTGTCTGAGAGCAGCCCTCAGTGACTTGGCTGAGGTCACAGATGGTGGGAGCCGTGTCTGGAATTGGATAGAGGCGTTTCCTCGCTTCCAGACCTCTGTTCTTGTTACATCTCTACGTGTATTTGTTGAGTTCCTAATACAATGAGCTCCTCATCCCTGCCTTGAGCTCCTAGGTAATACAAAGAATGCAAAATAATTTCAGATTTACTCCTTGTCACTTAGCACTGAAATAAGTTTAGCTATAATTCCCATCTCACCCAAAATATATGTAATACATAATTCCCATCTCAGCCCAAATAGCTTAATTAAAGGAAGAACTCCCTTTCCCCAGCCCAAAATGTTTGACTTGAAAGATTAGTTATATGTACTGAGGGGTTTTACCCACAGGAAAAACAGCTTTCCATATGATTGGAGAAATGTGGGTTTAAAAAAGCAAGCAAGTAAGCAAACAAACATCCCTCTGAGATACAGTTTGCTAAGAGAAATCCCCCACCAGTCAAGCCCACTTTACTAACTTGGCAGAAAATACTGAAAACAAAATTGTGGATTCTTTGTTATCTGCAAAGTCCATCTGTTGCGTGCTAGCCTGTTTAACCTCCTAGGGTTGCATTCCCAAGTTAATATGAAACAATTAGATTGAGTTTAAAGCAGGATCCCAGTGGAAAAAAGAAAAACAAAAAAACAACTGAGATAGATGTGGCAAAGCAGAACAATGAACAGAAAAGCTCACTGCAAGACAACAGAGAATTGGGAAAAAGCTCCTCGTGGTAACAGAGTCTCTGAAGTGTAGAGTCACAGGATCAGCACCCATGTTGTGACCTTCCATGCCTTGCTGGCTGTTGTCCGTGAGGCCTCTTTTGGTTTGTCACGGGCAGGTGTCTTTATCAGAGGTAAAGCAGCACGCTTTGATTTTTCTCCCTCGGTTTTGATGGGCAGCAGAAACTCACCTAGCACGTCCTTAACTTCAGCTCACCTTTCCTGTGAGGAGCTTCAAATAAATGTCTTCCCTTTGTTTTAGCAGCAGGTGCTTGGCTGAGTGTGAGGGAGCCCCCCCAGCTGCTACCCATGAGGGAAGGCTGACTGCTACTCAGAGCCCAGTTTCTTAGTGCATTTCCCCGCAAAATGCCAGGTGTAACCAGGTCCCTCTCTTTGCTTCTCCTTTTAAAGGTATCTGTTTAATTTCCGGGGAGTGGCTGCCAGTTTCCGGTTGAAACACCTTTTCTTGTGTGGTTCACTCGTCTTTCACGTTGGAGAAGAGTGGTTGGAGTTCTTCTACCCCCAGCTGAAGCCTTGGGTCCACTACATCCCAGTCCGATCAGACCTCTCTAACGTCAGGTGTGAGACCCCAAGCGTGCTTAGTGGGGCATTGCGCGCCACAGGGAAACGCTGCTGTGTTTGGGAAGGCGGCTTGGTTTGTAGTAGATAGAAGTGCCTCCACTCCGAGCCATCAGACAAAGGCTCTTGGAGGTTGTGCTCTTTTTCTCTTTATTACTGCCCCCAAAGAATCCTTCGCTCGCGTTACTTAGAGAGTACGGTTTCACTGGGGTAAGGAGGTCTGTCACCCTCACTGAAATCAGCAGGCACCAGGCATTTCAGTTTCCAAGCTGGCCCTGCAGCACAGATAAGGGTAAGAGGAACGTATCGCTGGGCCAAAAATTGTGTTAGCTCCCAGATTTCAGCATGCCGCCCAGAACTGATAGGGAACAACTGAGAATGGCAGGTTTCTTCTGTGCTCTGAAATGAGGAGCACCAGTCCCTCACTCAGTTGTAGATCCTTAACCTCGTCTTCTGCAGTAGTTTAGCTAAGGGACCGCGTTCTCCATTGAGCTGGTTGTTTCATAGCACTTTTTTGGTCTTCATTTTAGGGAGCTGTTGCAATTTGTAAAGGAAAATGATGCCATAGCACAAGATATTTCAGAGAGGTAAGTGGTGTGTCCTTTCTGGCTATCAGGCAATCTTCTTCCAAAGCACATTCTTAGGCAGCTTTTGAAGGGGTTACCTATCAAAGACAGCCTAGTATTAATAGGGCGCAGTATAGCTGGTATTCTGCCATGACAGCAGGAGGGCTGGAGAACTCGTAACAAGCAGGGGGAACGGAAGAGCAAGATGCTATGCTTAGGGCTTTGGTTCAGATGTGACCCGTGTCAGGAACCCCACTGAAAGCTATCAGAAGTTGGGAGCTTTTGTCTCAGTATGAGGTCAGTTGACCCCTGGGAACTGTGTCTGCGCTATAAGCGTTATGTATCCGGGCTGGCAGCGCCTGGCTTCTGAAGCGGTGTGCGTCGGTGCTGCTCAGGCTGTATCTGATATGTGAAATCTGATATTTATTATCCCAGATAACAAATACCATCTTGAGGATAACAAAAGCACTGCAACTGTCAGAGCTGTGAGCGTGAATGAGAAGTGTGACATTAAAATAGATGGTACAGAGCAGCGCGTGTTGTTTCTCATTGGAAACACAGAAGAGTGAAAGCTGATGTACATATAGAACAAAACCAAAGACTCTTGTAGGAACTGGAAATTGGTTCTGACTGTGCCTTGTGTGTCTCTAGGGGACGCCAATTCATCACCGAGCACTTGCAGATGGAGGATGTCTCGTGCTACTGGGAGCATCTGCTGTCTGAATATTCCCAAACCCTGACTTACAAAGTGAAAAGGAGGAAGAGCTACCGCGAGATCACTTCCGAATGGCTGAAAACAGAACTGTAGAGACTTCTGTGTTTTTCTCTTCAGCTCAAACTGATCTCTGCGGAAATCTGAAGATCAGTGTATCTTCTTTCTTCTTCTCTCGGACTTCTTATCCTTGACGCTAGAACTACAGGGAACAGCAATAGGCTGACTTTGAAATTTCTCCCGTACGATGGGACCCGGTTATACTCTCGCCACGAGAACATTGAGTAGAATGTTGGGTTATGGCTATTTAATGGGGTGGTTATGCTCGTCTCTGGAAGAAGGTTGTTAGCATTTGGGACTTAGTTACTACCTGTCTCAGAATGATCCTAAATCCCATTCAGTCAATGAGAAGCCTTTCTGTTAATTTCACTGGACTTTTTACCGAGTCCTCCGTACTCGTGAGCAAGGTACAGACTGTCAGCTACACTCAGCTGGGAGATACCTGCCCCTTTTTTTGTAGATGGTCAATGTTTTCCCACCTGTGCGATAGCACTTGGGATATTGGGTGTTCTCTGACAGAAGCAGGTACTGGGATTTGGGGTAACCCTTCTTAGATAGCTTAGAGCTTAGTTTTCTGATGCTTTATGTCAGGTTTCTAAAGAGGTTGATGGTAAGGCTTTGATGTGCCGTTGAAAGGACAAATGGTCCTTGCGCAGTTGACCTACCTACCTCATAGCAGGGCGGCCGGTGGCGAAGATGCTGCCAGAGCGCTAAGCCTGAGCAGCAGGCAGGCGGGCAGCTGGCACCTGAGATAAAGGCGGCTCATCCTCCGACAGAGGAGCGGGTGCCCGCGCAGCCATGCAGAACTGAGCCCCTGCTAGCAAGCTCTCCCCGGTCGGCTGGCCAGGCATCCTTAAGAACCCAGAGAAAGTAGATGCAGTTAGAGTCAGCTCTTCTTTTTTCCAGATGTTCACAGATTCTCCACTGTAATCTTTCTAGGGTTGTTTTTTTTGTTTTTTGTTGGGTTTTTTTTTTGAAGCTGGTAACACATCTGCTCACTTCAGTATTTGCTTTTCTCTCCCACAGCCGGTACACTCCTTTTCTCTTCTCCTTCAGTCTGGTTGAGGGAACGACTTCAGCCACAGAGTGGCAGGGCTACTCCTGACATTACTGACTCTGAGTTCAGTCACGGGTTGCCTGTGCTCACTGTTAGTTACGCCCACTACAGGCTGCTCAGCTCAGAGGGCGTGCCATTTCTGAAATGCTCTGCGGCCCCCGAGTTGAGAGGCCTGGTAGGAAGCAGCATCTTCTCTGGTATCCAAACGGGTGCTCGCAAGAGCGTGGGAGGCAGCAGTGGGAACCCAGGAGGGTCACTGCCTCCCAGGGGAGCGCCCTCGATGGTAAAGCGGCCTCAAGGCTTAGGAAGCGACACATTAATGGACGAGAATGATAGCAACAGCTCAGGGTCTCCTCCGCAGGCGGTTTGGATCGGAGAAGAAGAAAACACTACAAGGAACAGTAACGCAAAGTGCACCTACACAGGTACGCGCTTGTGCGGGGGCCTCGCAGCACCGCCGAGCCCTGGTACGGGGACGTAACCGCCGGACCTGTTCGTCAAGCGCCAGTTGCTGGAGCAGCGTGCCGGTTATGTTTCTTGCAAAGGAAACAAATCGGGGTATTAAAATAGCCTGGTTTCTGAGGAAAAGAGCTGTGCGAGAGTGGCAGGGGTTTTCTGGTTTTGTATTTTTGGTCAATGGAGAGGCTGAGAAACGGAAAGAGCTATGTATAGTATTTTTAAACGATTTTTAACGAAGTGCTTTTGGAATAAAACGAAAACGAAGTTTTGTTGGATGCATTGTTGCTTAATGAGAATTGCAGTAAAAGATCTGGATAGCCCGCAGCTGTTTCATAGAATCACAGAAAGCTTTGGGACGGGAGGGGCCTTTAAAGGTCACCTAGTCCATCCCCCTGCCATGGGCAGGGACATCTACAACCAGATCAGGTGGCTCGGAGCCCCATCCAGCCTGGCCTCCAATGTTTCCAAGGATGGGGTGTCTACCACCTCTCTGGGCAGCCTGTTCCAGTGTTTCACCACCCTCACTGTAAAAAATTTCGTCCTTATACCTAGTCTGAATCTACCCTCTTTTAGTTTAAAACCATTACCCCTCGTCCTGTCGCTATTGGACAGCCATCGCTGTTTCCCCAAAGACAGCGAAGCGTCCCTTTCTGGTTTCCCTCTGTCCCCGTAATACGGAGGGTGTCTCTGCTTCCAGCCGCGGTGGCTGGAACGGCTCCGCGGCCTGTCCCCACCGGGGGCTTTCCGCTCCCACTCCTTTTTTTTCCGCATCGCAGAACCAGCCCCGACCGGTTGCTCTTAGCAGAGAGGACGGGACCCTCGCCGCTCCCGGCGCC